AAAAAACAGTGAGAGGGGCACTGGCCTGGATGTTTCCAGGGGAAGAAGGGAGGCTGGTCCCCACCCCCCCAGGACCTGACTCACCAGCAGAAGGGGGTTAAGGGAAGGGAAGGGGCTGTTCCAGGCAAAAGGGAGGGGGCTGGGGAGCCCGGAGGGGAGGCCCACCCCCTGCAGGAAGGAGGGGTCCTGGGGCTGAGACACAGGTGCAGGGAGGGGAGGGCTGGGGGAGGGCAGGTCCTCAGGGTGGGGGAGGCCGCCCCCCAGGCCAGATGCAGGCTTCTAGGGGTGAAGTCGGCCAAGACATGAAACTGAAAGCAATTCCACATCCTGAAATCACCTGAGGAAGCAGCTAGCGCTCGGATTTCCCCTTGGGCGCCACACGTCCAGGTGCCCAAAACACAAAGCCTCTCATTTTCCCCCTCCCTTTCGGGCGAGTGCTGCTGCAGCCCGCTCCGCTCCTCTCTCTCTGCATCAGCATCGACTTGGGTGATTCTGGCAGTTCTGGGAGGAGATAAATGAACTTAATCTTCCAGAGAGTCGGTGAACCCACATTATCTCTGGTTTCCTCATAAACTTTAACAACTTCCATCCAGCTAATTACCAGGACAAAACACGGAACCAGAAACCATCTTGGCTTCCAAACCTTCCTGCTCTCAGCACAGCTTAACCCCTCGCCTCCTCCCAAAGCAGAAACCCCGTCAGCAGCCTTAGGAGTTTGCCTTTAACTGGCTAATCACACTGTCTCGTCAATTAGCAAGCGTCCCTGGGGCTGTGTCCCTCCTCCTGGCTCGGGTGACAGGAGCAGCCCCTCAGAGAGCAGGCCAGGCTGACCCGTGACAAAGACGGGGGACGGCCAGGACGCGGCGGGACAGCGTGCGGGCCGGGAGGTTAAGGCGGCCAGCTCTCCTCCCGTGCGGCGCCTGTGGGTCCTTCCACGCGCCCTGTTTCAGGCACTGGGACCCGCAGACTCAGGAGGAGGGAAAGCCCATTGGGCATATCTGGGGGCCGGGAGGTGGCGGCACCACTTCTGTAGGAGGGATTTCTGAAGCCCAGTCCTGGAGAGACAGCTGAGAGGCCTGGGCTCCTTGCTTCTTCTGTTCACTGGGCGTCCCATCCCCTCTCTGTCTGTGTGGTCTGCGTGAGGCTGACTCCGCCCCCAGGCCACGATGGGCTCCTGTGACTCAGGCCTCTGCAGACCAGAACATTCCTTTCCCATGGCCTGGGTGATGGGCTCAGGGGTGAGGATTTGACTGGACCTGCTTGGAGAAGAGACTCTGTTTTGGAACGTGTAACCCTGAAGAGATATTGACCTGGAGAGACGTGGACACAGGGAACCTGAGCCACGAGGTGAAGAGAGGTCAGGCCCTGAAGTCAGTGTTTGAGCTGCTGGATCAAACTGTGCCTGAAGCTGCCCCATCCTGAGAAGTTCATTACATTTCCCTTTGTGCCGGGACCTGCTTGAGTCTCTTCTCTTTCCGCTGGCTCATCAGCCCACCTGCGAGATACCAACCCCACTCCCTTTCAGGGGCCTTGTCCCCAGCATCATCTCTGGGAACCTCTGGAGAGTTCCTCATGACTCATTCATTGTGTGCTGCTGCTCTGTGCTGGCTCTGCACGGCCCCCTGCAGGTGTCACTCTGCCCCCACATGTGCTGTGGTCTGAGCCTCAAGGATGTCCCTGCCCCTCCCCTGAGGCTTTGAGCCCAGGCCTCCCTCCCACTGCACCTGCCCCAGGGCCACGCCCTGCCAGCTTGTCCTCAGGGCCCTGCAGCTCAGGGTCTGCTGTGGGGGCTGGGGGAGGAGGCGAAGGCCCCCTGTGAGGGCACCCCCAGGCATCCGTGCTGGGCCCAGAGGTTCCTCCTCAGGGTCTGAATCAGGGCCCCCAATTCTAGGGGGACACTTTCCCAAGGCAGGCCTGCCCCCTGTCTTTCCCCCTACGCCCCAGGCACCGGCCGCTCGCTGGGAGGAGGAAGGGTGCCCTCTGTCATGGTCACCACTGACCCAGGAGGGGGTCTGGGGACCTCAGCGGGCTGATCCCGCCAGGTGGGAGAGGGTGTCTCCCACCTGCTCCCTCCTTTATCCTCACAGCCCCCCCCTCCCTGCCAGGCTCCCCCGCTGTGATCTTCACTCCCGTTTCACAGGAGAGGAAACAGGTCCGGTGGACCCGCGGGCCCCCCAGCTGGTCACAGAGGGGTTTGACTCGGGTCCTTGGGGACAGTCAGGGGCTGTCCGTGCCCTGAGCAGACCCTGCAGGGCTGGCCGTGGCCACTGCATCCCACAGTCCAGGCAGCAGTGGCACTTACGGGTGGGGTGGTACCCGGGGCTCACTGCGCGCTGGGCGGGGGTCACCGTCATCTCTCCTGTGCACCCCTGGGGCCATCCTTGGAGTCTCGCTCTGGGCACGGAGCTCAGAGGGCGGGGCTGCTGGCCCTGCCCTGGGGAAAGGTCTCAGCCCTGGGGAGGGTCTCAGCCCTGGGGAGGGGGAGGTCTCAGCCCTGGGGAGGGGGGTCTCAGCTCAGAGACCGGGACATGGGGAGGGTGGACACTGATGGTTTGTGTCACAGGGCTGACCTGGGTCAGGAGGGGCCTGGACTCCCCCCACCACAATGGGGAGCCAGGGAAGCTTGTGGAGGAAGGTCACGCTGCCCCCGGGGCCCCCAAGGGGCCCTCCTGGCCAGTGCGGAGGCTTCAGCCTTGTCCACCCTCACAGCTGGGCCCTTTGACCCCTCCTGCCCTGAGGTCTGTCACCTCTGCCCTCAGCGAGGTCCCAGCTGCAGGGAGGGCCCCCAACGGGATATTTCAAGCTGCAAACAGCCTCCTTCAATGCCCCGTGTCTGGGGGGCCAGAGGCGGGAGCTAGAAATAGCCCCGCAGGGACCCCCACGCAGTCCAGGCCCTCTGACCGCGGGTCCGGGTCACCCTTCCTGCTCAGCAGGGCGGAGATCCCAGCCTGGGGAGGCTGTTGGCAAACAAGGCCGCCTTGTGTGGCTCTCTGAGGGCCTTTCAGAGTCGCCCCCTCCCCGCGAGGCCCAGCTGCAGCCCCCTCCCCCTGAGGCCCTCTGGTCCCTTCCCTGGGGCCAGGCCAGGAGGCGGAGCAGACAGGGGAGGGTGGGGGCCGAGAATGAGCCAGGCCCCCAGGGATCCCACAGCTGCCCGCCAGCCCCGCCTCCAGGCGCAGGGCCTGGGGGGGCTCTGCTCTGTCCCCAGCTGAGTTCCACAGCTTCTCTGGGTCACCGTGTCCCTCTTGGCTCGTCCAGCTCTGTCTCCAGCATCAAAAACTCCCATGTCCTTTTCACAGAAGGTTCTGGAACGTTCCCCTGAGCCCTCGGTTTCCTGAAATGACCAGGACAGGTCCTGTGCTGCAAATCTTCCAATTTGGGGAAAACAGGCTCCCGAATGTCTTAAAGATGGGAGTTAACAGGCCCTGGTGTCCCCGGGGAGTCCTCCCCCGGCGGGACAGTAGAGGGCTTGGGATGGGGGTGCCAAGGCTGCCCTGGTGTGCGAGGGCCACGCCTTCTGCAGGAACCAGAGGTCGCCTCAGTGGGGCCTGGCTTCTCCGGTTTGCAGGAGCGGAAGGTGTGGGGCACCGCGGGGATGGGAAAGTCCTTTCAGAGAGGGCTGAGGCAGAGGGCATGGTGGTGGTGCTGTGTGTGTGCACACGTGTGGGTGTGTATGCATGTGTGTGTGTATGCATGTGTACGTGTGTGCATGTGCGGGCACACAGGTGCTGGTGTGTGTCTGGGGCGCCCCCTGTGGCAGGCTCTGAGAGCGACACCCTCTGAAAGCCTGGCGGCTTCCAGAAGCTTCCGAGGCCTCATCGAGAGGGTAACTGAATTGCTTTTCAGGCCACTGGCCCCTGAACCTCTGATGCAGAATGAACCCCGAGGGCCTTTCCATCCTCGAGAGGCTGCCATCTGCGCAGGAGGCCGCTCTGCGATGCTTCAGAGCTTCTCCTGCACGGTTGGGCCATCAAATATTCACAGCAGCTCAAACACTTGCCTCCCAGCAAATCGGGGGCACTGGGGGGAATGTCCGGCTGTGAGGGGGCACAGGACAAGCTTGGCGCCGGAAGCACCTCCTTCCATGCGTGTGACGCCCCCCAAACTGGACCACAGGCCCCCCTACGGGATTCCAAAGAGGAGCCGGTGAGCTGTGACCAGGGGTTCATTACTTCAGCAGGAAACACTCACTGAGCACCTGCCTAGAAGTTGGCCTGGGGCCGCGGAGTGGATGTCGGTGCCCTCCCCTGACGGGGAGGCCTGGGGGGGAACGGGATGCAGTCTGGAGTTTGCGCAGGGCAGATGCGGGGATGGGAGTCGCTGGTATTGGTCCCGAGGCAGATTCAGCCGCCACGGGGCCCTTGGAGGGAGCTGTGTGTCCCCTGGAAATGAACCGCTCAGGATCCCCAGTCCAGACCCGCAGAGTAACAGGAACACAGAACACGTTGCTCCCCAGCTATTGGGAGACTGGTGGGCCGGGTGGACAGAGCCCGCACAGCGCAGGCTTGGCCCCTGCATTTCATTGCTGGGGGTGGAGACAGGGACCAGTGGGAGGAGCCCATTCTGGGGAAAGGCCGTCCCCCAGCCCCCCACCGTGGGGTCTGTCCCCAGGGCTCCTGAGAAGACCCGCCGGAGGGATGGATGGTCTCTCCCGAGGAAGCGCTTTGCAGCGGGAGACTGTGCGGCCCACGCGCGGTTCTCTGCAGGCTCTCGGGGTGGGAGGAACTCCTGCAGAGCTAATGGGGAGAGGACAATTATTATTAGAACTTTTATATCCACAGCTTCGCTCATTTTCCGGGAAGGAAGATGGCTGAGGAAGTCAGCCAGCACCACTCTCTCTCTCTGTAGTCGCTGGGTTTAAATTCTAACGCTCCGCTCTCTGCAAATAACTTTGAGGATAAGAGCTGGTGGAAATTTCATTTAATTTATTTGAAGTCTTGGAGAAATCCTGTAGCGAACATGGAGAGTCCCCCATTAAGTTACATAAAGAAGCTTTCTTTCCCCTGACATTCTTTGCTGCACAAACATCACAAAGCAGACCAGGTCCTCCCCGCCCCCACCCCCGCCCGCCCTCGGTGCTAATTAGCTCAACCCACAGGCCTCGGAGCATGGATGCTCCCCCCTCCCCCAAAACTGAAACGGAAGTATTAAATAAAGTGGCGAATGAGCACGGTGTGGGACGGTTCTGTGCAAGCAGCTTGGGGAGGAGAGGATTTATAATTCATCAGTTCTACTGAAGCTCTGCTCTCAAATCGGGATCTTCCCGGATCAGAGCTGAATTTCTGAGCTGACGACTTTGTACTGTTTCTGCTTCTTCCTGCCCTGCTCCCCATGCGGCGGCGTTCACGTCACCCCCGGGAGGGCTGTGCTTTCTGAGAGTATCGTCTGGTCATTTAGGGTCCTGGAAGCACGTGGAGTCTACAGGAGCTGGAGAACCTAATCCAGCACACTGACGAAGATATGCTTGGGTAAGACCAGCACCGTAAGTGGCCTCGCCACCTCCGTTGTTCACGAAACTAACTCAATCAATAGGTGGGTCGTCATGGTAACGGGTGGTGGGAACAAAATTCTACACAGTTTGGAGAGGATAGCTTTAGAAGTTAAGACTCTTGGGGGCAAGTGGCTGAAATCTGGTTCTTGCTGGATGAAGGACAAAGGTGGTTGGTTGGTTGGTTTGCTTGGGGGAGACGTTTGTTCGTTTGGATACCTTGAAAGGCCACGGGCGTCCTGACCTCGGCAGGGCCGTGGGAAGGGCTCAGCGCAGCTATCAGGCGAGAATCTCTCCTTGGAGGGGCCCTGCCTTCTGCTGCGCTGCAGCCCGTCAGGCTCCACGTGGCACCGCCTGAGAGCCCCAGCTCTGATCGTCCTGGGCACTGGCAACCCTAGGTGCTAACCGTGGAATCACCAGGCGGCCGCTCTGTGACACGTGCCACTGAGAAAAGGGATCTGAGAAAGTCTGTGGGGGGGGGCGTCCTAGAAACACGTAAGTGACAGAAGCGACTCAGGAAGAAAGGGAAAACCTGCGCAGAGCCGTAACAGGGCAAGCGACTGAAGCAGGACTCAGTCCAAACCACGGCAAGACGCCGGCACTGGGGAATGCTGCCCGACATTCAGAAGCGCCAAGACCTCTTCAAACCCTCCTTTATAAACGGAAGAGGAGGAAACCCTCTCTAGAGCGTGACCGGAGGCCAGTGTCACCCTCACAGCGAAGCCAGACAAAGACGCCACAAGGAAAGAAAACCACACACCAGTTCCCCTTGTGAATATTGGTGCATAAAATATCAGCAAAATACTAGGAAGTCTGATCTAGCAGCATATTGAAAGGACTAATAAATTCCACGACCCAGTGGGATTTATCTCAGGAATGTGAGGATGGTTAAAACACACCAAAGTCATTCAACCCAACACAACAGAAGATGAAGAAGAAAGATGATCATCTCAACCAATACAGAAAAAGTCTCTGACAAAAGCCGGCAGCCTTTCATGATGGAAAAATGCACGGCTTTCCAGCCTCGTTCAGGAACAAGACAGGCTTCCCGCTTCCCTCCTCTGTTCAACGCTGTGTTGTTCTCACAGGAACAATTAGGCAAGAAAAGGCATACAGACTGGAAATGAAGATGTGGAACCGTCTCTATCCGCAGATGACTCGATCTTAAATATTGAAAATCCTAAATACGTCCCAGGAAACTGCCAGAGCTAATAAGAGAATTCTGCAAAGTTGCAGGATACAAGTTCAACAGATAAAAGCTAGTTGTATTTCTATACACTAGCAATGCATGATCCAAAAATGAAATTAGGAAAGAACTTTCATATAAAAACAGCATCAAAAAGAATAAAATACTCAGGAATAAGTTTAATCAAAAGGTGTAAGACTTGCACACTGGAAACTACTAAACATCAATGAAAGTAATTAGATAAGATGTATATAAAAAAAGGGAATATATCCTGTGTTCACAGATTGAAAGTTTTAATATTGCTAAGACGTCAAAGCACCCCAAAGCAATTCACAGATGCAGCGAACTCCCTATCAGAACAGCTTCGGCTTCTTCCCCCTCACATCTGGTGAATCAGAACTCAAAGTTCTCATGAAATTGCAAGTTGTCCCAAATAGTCAACACGATATTGAGAAATAGGAACAGAGCTGCAGGACTCACACCTCCCTATCTCAATATTAACACGCTGCTACGTCAGTCGGAAACAGTGTGGCACTGGCACAAAGACACGCCTACAAAGCAGTGGAATGGAACGGGGAGTCCAGAACTTAACTCACACACCCACGGTCGACTGCTTTTCGACAAGGATGCTGAGATAATTCAATCCGGAAAGAAGAGTCTCTTTGCGAAAAGGGGCTGGGAAACTGGATTTCCACGTGCAAGAGGATGAAACTGGTCTACCTCCCTCCACACGTAAAATGTAGCTCAAAGGCGGTCAAAGATCGAAATGGAAAAGCTAACAGAACAAGACCATCGGGAGAAAATGTAGGAGCGAATCTCGTGACTTGGGATCTGGCAGTGAGATTCTTTGATGTGCTACCAGAGGCATAAACAGCAAAAGAAAAAACACATGAGCCGGGCTTCATCGACGTTAAATGTTTTGTGTGTCGAAGGGAACCATCAAGGAAATGAAGAAACCGCCTGCAGAATGAGGGGAAATGTTTGCAAACCACACGTAAGCTGAGGGTCTAGGACGCAGACGTGGAAGGAACTCTTACAACCCAGCAGCAGGAAGACAGATGACCTGATCGGTTTTAACGAGCAAAGGACTTGACAGAGACTTTTCTAAAGAAGAGACCCACGTGGTCAAGACGCACGTGAGGAGGTTCTCAGCGTCACGAGTTGCTGGGACACTGCGAATCCAACGCAACGAGACACCAGTCCGCACCGAACAGACGGCAGGTAGAAACGGCAGCAGCCACAGCGCGGTGGGAAGCAGGGGATGCGCGGTGACGTGCTGACGGATGGTCCGCCGTGGACGGACCCCAAAAACGCCGTTCTAGGCACAAAACGGTCGCGGGTTGCGTGGTTTCGCTTTACTGACGAGTCAGAATCAGTAAATTCAGGGAGTCGGAGAGGAGGTGGACCCTCGGTCGCCATGGGCTGTGGGTGGGGCGGGTTGATGAAAACGCTCTGGACTGAGGCAGCAGCGATGGTTTATCAGCATTGTGAACATCCTGGATGCTGCTGGATTGTAATTTTTAAAATGTCTAGTTCTATGAAACTAACTTCAATTAAAACAAAACGAGCGTGTGGAGGGTGGTGGGAGGAGAGCGAAGCGGGACTCACTGTGAACCCCCAAGGTTGCTGAGAGGACAGCCCCTCCCCCGCCGAGCTGAAGACGGTAAACACGGGGAAATTACGGCTTTATCCCGGCATTCTGGTTCGACCTCTGTCTCATGGGAGACTGTGAAGGACCTGGGGCTCCTCATGACAGACGCAGCACGAAGGGGCCAGGAGAGCCAGAGCCCAGACTCAGCACACCTCGGCCGGCCGCATCCCTGAGCATCCTCAAGCAGGGGCAGGAGCCTCTGGGGCCCCGGTCAGGGAGGACACACGCTGCCAGACCCATCGCAGCTCATCCAGCCTGCGCGGATGGCGAGGGAGGGGGCGGGAAGGGGGAGCAGAAGGGGATGGAGAAAGGGCCAGGGTGGGGGGGGCAGAGGAGAAGGTGATGGAGACGATGATGAGGGGAAGGGGACAGGGTAGGCAGGTGGCCCACAGGCTCCGAGGGACCCAGCCTCCTGCTCCTTCCCGGCTCCCCCACTCCCACGCTCACCTGGCCCTTGAGGTCTCTCCTCTCTCCACGCCCAGGCTCTCGGCTTATGTTTGGAGAAACACCTTGAACAGAACACAGTGGGAGAAGAATCTGTATGCATCTCTGTTCCAAGTTCACGTCCATCTTTTCCTGCCTCAAAAGAAGGGGAGAAATCAACAGCCAGTGGGGATGAAAGAAACCCTCCCCCGGAGCTGGGCAGGGTGGAGGGAGCTGGCCCCGTGCAGCCCTGCAGGGACCGCAGCCGTAAGCGGCAGAACTTGGTGCAAACTGGTAAAAGCGGAGGAGGTGTTGGCGGGCGGACCTGGGAGCTCTGAGGACTCACTGGTCGCCGATGTCCCTGGGCTGACCCAAGTCCTCAGCTCACACGGGACCTTCCCTCCCCTCCTGAAGGAGGAGGAGCTGGCACGGGGCTGCCCGGTGCTGGAGAAAACCCAGGGAAGTGTGGTTTGCCGAGAGAGGCCACCTCCCCCCTGATTCTCCCCACGTGGCTGCTTCACCGTTTGTTGCCGGAGGTTGGATTTCTCAGGGTTTCCACCCGCTGGTCCCTGAGCTCTTCTGCCTCCTCCAAGTTAGAGGCAAGCCCTGTCTGAGACGGAATCTCCTGGCCCCAAGGGCACCTTCCCAGGGAGAGGGCCCCATTGTCGCAGCTCAGGCTGGGTGTCCACACAGTGACCGATCCCGTGTGACCCAGTATGACCGATTGCCCAGGTCCCCCGATACACCCATCCCAACAGCCAGGGTCCCAGGGGTGACTCTGGCCAACAGGTGACCTCTCACCATGGAAACCTGACCCCGGGGGAGATGCCTTCACCCTGCAGTCCCACGAGGCAGACACAGAAGCTCAGGTTTGCCCTCCGAAATGTGGGCAGGAAGGGCCTCCGGCAGAGTTGTGACTGAGCCGCCTCTCGCCTCACGGCGCCACTCCAGGCAGGAAGCCTCACTCAGGACGGCAGGGCACGACCTGATCACATTCTGCTGCGGGGCCCCCAGGTTTCCCCGGGCAGACCCTTCGTCTGACCCCTCATGACCGCGGGCACCAGACTCAGTACAGCATCACCAGCTTCCCCCCAGTCCGGGGTGACTGCACTGCCCACGCCGGGCGGGGGAGGCTCCTTCCGCGGGGCCCCCAGGGCAGCGCTTGCTGCCCTCACACGGTGCGCGGCGGCTGCTCCTTCCCGACTTCAGGCTCTGTTTCTTTAGACTCATCGATCCAGCTGGCCGAATCTGCCCGAGACGGACGTCTGCTGCTTCTGTTTTCCCGTTGGCTCCCTCTGCTCACAAACGGCCCGCTCCCATCCAGTGTGTTGGCACCGAGGGTTTTTCTTCCTGATTGAATGAGTGCTGGCTCCGAGCCCGGCTGCCCTCGAGGCCAGCCAGTGAAACGCGCTTTTATTTAGTGCAGAGACACAAAAGCATATACCAGCCACACAGGACAACCCGAGGACACACTGTTCTGTTTCCCAAAATATCTCATGCAGAAGTTCTCCAAGCATAACTTCTCGGCGACCCACCGTGAAATGTGCCGTCAGATGCTGCTTCGGGCCACGTGCACCACACACCAGAGACAAACATTACTACCGCTGTAACTGGGCAGACGTGGAAATGTCCACGCTGGGCTCCAACAACCCCCGTGGTTTCTGCATTTCAGCCTGGGTTCTGTAGATGACCACGGAAATGGCAGGAGATCTGGCCCAGGGAACTGATGCTGGATGCACGGCATCTGCCCGGCTTCAGAGCGATGCCGAGACCGGGGTCCCGCTGTTTATTTCCGGCGCTTCTGGAAAGGTTTGAATGGTACCGGCACGCGCTTCTGAATTCTTTTCATTTCTGTTTGGTTTGTGGAAAGAAAATAAAGCAACATAATTAAAACAAGCCTAACTCTCCTATGTACCTGGAGGCCAAAGGAAACGCAGTCCTGTGAATGAAAACACACTCGTCTCAGATATGAATTCGGGGGGAAAAGTCCAGACCAGGACCGTGATGCTTTCAGCGACCGTCCTTCAATATTTTAAAATTCTTCAGTGAGCCTTGTTCGGCAGACCTAGTGACTTTCTCCTGTTACTGCTACCAACCCACTGAATCTGGGCAGAAAAAAGTGAGTGTGCGAGGGTATGGGAAAGGCAATCGCAAATGAGATCGCAGAGACTCCTGCAAGGTGGAAAAAAATGCTGCAGCCAAGCAAATACAAGAAGCATCGGTTGTCACAGCCGCAAAGTTTGTGCCCCTCGCAGATTCAGATGCTGGACTCACAGCCCCAGATGCGGTGGGACCAGGAGGCGGGCTCTCTGGGGAGTGACTGGGTGCCAACGGTGGAGCCCTCACGGATGGGGTCGTGTTTTTATAAAAGGGACCCAAGCGCTCCTGCACTCCCTCCACCACGTCAGGCCGCAGCGAGCAGATGGCAGCAGAATGAGGAAGCGGGCCCTCCCCGGGCCCCGAGGCTGCCAGCGCCGCGGTCTAGGGCTTCCGGCCTCCAGAAGTAAATACAGTTCTGTTGTTTACAAGCTGCCCGGTCTCTGGTAACTTTTTTGCTGCAGCCCAAGCAGATGAAGATATTTGTGGTCCACGGCAGCAGAACTTACAGTCAGCCTCTCTCTCTTCCTCCCAGAATAAAGGCCTAACAGTTGGAGGCGTCTTCGTTCAGAAGTGTAATCATGGCTAGAAGGACCCGAGATGAGCTGACCATTCATCGGCCACCAGTGCTGCAACGTCAGCCCGCCGTAAATAAGTAAATGTGTGTGTGTGGGGTGCTCTTGAAGAATTGCAGGGATGAGGAGGGACATGTGAAGGAGAAGATGCACCACTGCCATCGACCAGGCCACAGCCACTCCTGGGGCACTCCTGGCTGTGGCGCCCATGGCCCGTGCGCACAGAGAAACTGGGGGCTGGGTTGTCGTGGGATTTCCACACCTGTCATACCCCGAAAGCTGGCACCAGACACTTCAAGCGGCTGGCTGCTTTTAGTGGCGTGTTTATCCTCGTTTTTGAAGCAAACTGCAAACGCACAGAGTAAAACCGCCGAGGGTGTAAAGAGTGTGGGAAAAGCCAGCCTCCTGACCCCGACCCCGACTCCCTGCCCCGTCCTCACCGATCAGCACTTTGACCAGATTCTCACCCCCAAGGTGTGGACCCAACCCACTTCGCCTGGACACTTGCTACCGTGGTGCACGATACTAGGGGCTGGGCTCAGACGCCACCTCGTCCCCTTTGGGTCAAACGAGACGGTGTCTTGATGGCTGAGTCTCTGAAGTTTTCTTCTACCTTTAGAACCATCAGTACCTCCTGCTCCGTCGTGTTTGCTCACAAGCATGTGTGAGGCCAAGTGAATCCCTGTGGGGATCTCAGGGGACAGCTAACCCTCCTCCTACTGACCGCCGACCCGTCTGTCGATGAGAGAGGGAACCGGAGTCTGCAACGGCAGAGGGCGTGGGGATCGGTCCTCAGTGTGAACCGGAGCGGGGCCCTGTGGGGTCTTCCCCGCACAGACCCCTCCCCACGTCCTCCGCCTGCCTCCTGTCTGCAGAAAAACTTTAGTCAAGCGTAAGTTTAATCAGAGAAACAAGAAAATGCAGAAACGAAGGGAAACAGTCAAGCAACACAGATTACTAACAGTTCAGCCATTACACAAAGTTTCAAGGACCTTTAGTTCCTCGTCGGGCCTGGAGAAATGATCCTGAGCCGCATCCTTTGGGCTGTTTTGTAGGTACTAACCCCCCACCCCCACCCCAGGTGGAAGACGTGACCCGCATGATGACCAGGCTGAAGCAGCTCCGCACGATTCCAAGGTCTGGCCTCAAATAAGTAAGAATGAACCAGCCCTGGAGCCGAGGATGAACTGTACTTAAAGGACGCAAGGCGACAGAGACCAGACCACCGCACGACCAACCTCACGACGAGGGTCAGCGCTGACCATGCCGCGCCACGCGCGGCCCCTCCCTCCACCTGTGCACCCCGAAACTCCCCTTTGAAAGCTCTTGCCCCTGGTCGGCAGGCGTGGGGGTCGGCGGGGGGAGAGGGCCTCGGCTCCCGGCCCCCTGGCCCCGGCCCGGCCCCGTCCGCTCACCAAGGACATTGTTTCAGCAGCAGGCCGGCAGCTCCGAGTCGGCACCCAGCCTCGGCAGGAGGGAGAGCGGTGCAAGGGTGTTTCCAGGGGCACCTCCTCTGGCAGGAACATCATGAAAAATAGTTCAGAAGCTTTCAGTCTGAAAAGGAAAGAAGAGGGGAAAAAAGCCTTAGGATAAAAGGCACAGAAATATTTGATAAGAAGCTCAGGGAAAAAAAAGAAGACAACAAAGAGGACGTTGCGCTGTCACGCGGCAGCTTTGGCAGCCAAACCGCCCTGACGCTGGGCAAGGAGGAAGCCAGATCTACTTGTGTGGAGTTTGGGGTTCGCCTTTGATGAAAGTCGGCTTTTCTTTTTCTGAGGTTCTTTCTTCTGGAAATTGCGAGATGGGGGAGGGAAGGGAAAGAGACACCTGCGTGGCTCCTGGAAGGGGCGGCAGGGTCAGCAAGGACAGCCCCTCCTGACCTAAGCCTGGGGCCAGGCAGCCCCAGCAGAGGGTCGGAGGCTCCCCGAGGGCCTGGGGAGCACAGGGGTCTGAAGACCCCCGTCGGCCGGCCGGCCCGCAGGACAGCGCTGGAGAGCCCCGGCTTCCTCTCCGCAGTCGTCGCCCTCGCAGGGAGCCTGGGCTGGAGCCGCATCTTTGCAGGGGAGCCAGCACCAGGCTCCCTGCGTTTTCACTTTAAACGCCGCGTCCTCGGACGGGAGGCTCTTCCCTCCCAG